TCATCATCATCATCATCATCATCATCATCATCATCATCATCAGCAGCAGCAGCAGCAGCAGCAGCAGCAGCATTATAATCATCATCAGCAGCAGCACCATCATTATCAGCATCATCAGAGGCAGCAGCATCATCATCCCCAGCAATTCCATCATCGCCATCATAGTCGTAATCATCTGCAACATCAGCAGCAGCCTCATCACCATCATCATCATCATCATCATCATCAGCAGCAGCAGCAGCAGCAGCATCGTCATCATCATCAGCATCATCAGCATCGTCATCATCATCACCCATCATCATAAGAATCGCCCTCAGCCATCACCATGAGTTATAATCGTGGTCATCATGGTCCTTCAAGTCCTTCAACTACATCTGCCCACTGGGGCGGCACCCCTGGTGGAAGGAGCGCCTCACGAAACTGGGTCACCCGTGTCGCCGTGCCACCCTCCGCCCGCAGAGAAGGCTGCCATCATATCTCGCAAAAGCCCTTCGGCTGGTTCGTGCCGTGGCGACCCCAGCGTTTGATGCTGACACCGCATGTGTCGTAACGATCGGCGTTTTTTCGATCGCCAGATCATTCCATACAACCGCCCACCCCCTAACGCAGCCAATCCCCACCCTAATTAACCTGACCCAGGCCCTGTCGACACTGCGCCAAAGCTGACCTGCCCTAAAATTAACGTGGCCAACGGCTCGGCGAAACCAGTGTGTCACGCGCGCGCGCTGCAGCAAATGATGCACCAGAATGGGGCGATACAGCAACATGCAATGCAAAAGTGCCAACTGTATCACTAATCCCTTTTCGCTCCCAACGAAGAATCAGGCTGGCGCCGAAGCGAGAACAGCTTCCGCAACCATGGATGTGGACGGCGCTGCTGCGAGAGCAGCATTCTGAGCCACTGGCGGCGCTCGACCCTGCACACCCGCGCCGGGCCGCCGCCGCACCGACACGAGGGGAACGCGCCGCGACACATTGACTACCTACCAGACCACCCCAACCCAACCCGAAGACCCGAATTTCGGGTGGGGGGGGGGTGAGGGTTCCACGCGTGTTTTTGTCGATGTTCCCCGACCCCCCCCCACTGGAAATCGACGGCAAATTTGAGCCTTCGGGTTGGGTTGGGGTGGTTTGGTGGGTGGTGACACATGAACGACTGGAGATTGTGACTCCGAACCGGCTTGCCACAGAACTCCCTTGGCCGGCCTCCCGACGACCAGGCCGCGCCGGCGCAGCAGCTCTGGGAGCACCCTGCGCGCGCGACCCTGCACGTGCGCGGCCCCAGACACCCGACGTCGTCAGAAGCCTTAGCTTCGCGACGTGGGCCCCCCGAGCCCTCTTCCCGGGGACCGGTCTTGCAGCCCACATCGCTGCGCGACGGCCCACACGGCCCGAAGGGTGCCAACGGAGGCCCGAACAGAGGAAGCTCCGCCGCCGTGACCCCGGCACATGGAGGCGCAGCAGGATACGTGGCCCCCAGCAGTTGCGGACAAGAGTGAGGGGGCGGGGAGGACGCTGGCAGCCTGCGAGGCTCTGGAGAAGGCCGCCGATGGCGCCAAATTTTTCCAAATCATGCAATGAGCCCGCCGCAGGCGACGATTTTCTCGTTGAAGCAATGTGGGTGGGTCGCGTGTGGGTCGCGGGTGGGGTCGCGGGGGGGACAACGACAACAAACAACAACAACAACAACAACAACAACAACAACAACAACAACAACAACCACAACCACAACCACAACCACAACCACAACCACAACCACAACCACAACCACAACCACAACCACAACCACAACCACAACCACAACAACCACAACAACAACCACAAACACAACCACGACCACGACCACGACCACGACCACGACCACGACCACGACCACAACAACATCATCAACACTAACAACAACAAAAACAACAACAAAAAACAACATCAACAACAACAATAATGATATGTTTGAGACTGCTCGCTCTCACTGGCACGCGTGCCTTGCATTCTGCCTACCCTAACCCTCGATACCCGCCCACTACGTCTTCGATTGCACCCCTTTCGGGGGGAATATCTTCCATGTCGGCCACTGACTGAAGTGCGAGGAACTCTCGAACGAGAGCGCCGTTCCTGAGTTCGGGGGCCTCTCTGGCCAGGGGCTCTCGGAATACATATCGAGAAATATCGAACGGGAACCCTTGTCGCCGTGTCTGGGAATCCACCAACTTGCCTGAATTACGAGAAGGTCTCGCGCGATAGCGCCACTCTTGAGTTCGGGGGCCCCTCTGGCCAAGTCACTTTGCGAATACATCTTGAGGGAATGTCGAAGGAGAGCCCGTGTCGTAGTAGTTGGGCCTCCACCAATTTGACTGAATCACGAGGAAGTCTCGAGTGAGAGCGCCACTCCTGTGTTCGGGAGCCTCTCTGGCCAGGGGCTCTCGAAGTAAATCGTGAGGAAGTATCGAGCAGGAGCCCTTGTCGTCGCGGCTGGGCCTCCAAGGGCCCACATTTACACTCAAGCCAACACTCGCGCGGGAGCCTCGTTGTCAGAAAAACTGTAGCCGGTGTCGGGGCGAGAGCGTGCGGAACCGTTTAGGGACATCAGAACTTCTCTAGGAATGACCATTCACAACAACACAACAACAACAACAACAACAACAACAACAACTGCAACAACAACAGCAACAACAACAACGACGACGACAACAACAACGACACCAGCACAAACAACAACACCAACAACCACAACGACAACAAAAACGACAACCACAACAATAACAACAACGACGATAATAACGACGACGACAGCAACAACAACCACAACCACAACCACAACAACAACAACAACAACAACAACAACAACAACAACAACAACAACCATACCAACAGCAATAAGAACAACAGCAACAGGAACAGCGACACCACCAACAACAACAGCAACATCAACATGAACAACAACAACAACAACAGCAGCAACAACAACAACAACGACAACAACAACAACAACAACAACAACAACAACAACAACAACAACAACAACAACAACAACAATAACAACAACAACAGCAACACCAACAACAACAACAGCAACAGCAACAACAACAACAACGACAACGACAACGACAACGACAACAACAACAACAACAATAACAACAACAACCACAACAACAACAACAACAACCACAACAACAGCAACAACAACAACAACAACAACAACAACAACAACAACAACACCTACCTCCTTCCTCCTCCTCTTCCTCCTCCTTTTCATTATTCCTCCCTCCTTCCTCCTCCCTCCTCCTCCTCCTCCTCCTCCTCCCTCCTCCTCCTCCTCCTCCTCCTCCTCCCTCCTCCCTCCCTCCCTCCCTCCTCCCTCCTCCTCCTCCTCCTCCCTCCCTCCCTCCTCCTCCCTCCCTCCTCCCTCCTCCTCCTCCTCCTCCCTCTTTTTCCCTCATCCTCCTCCTCCTCCTCCTCCTCCTCCTCCTCCTCCTCCTCCTTCTCCTCCTCCTGCCCCCCTCCTGGCTTGGCCGGCGAGGCATCTGCGTACACCGATCCTGGACCCAGGATCGGCCTGGCCAGGATCGGTGAGGTGAACGGTTAGCGCCCCCTGGGGGGAGAGAACTTGGCGATCAGCGCGGTCGCATCCACTCCTCGTGCTACCAACCCAGACCCCCGATGTCATGATTTGTTCATTACGTCGACCCCCCGAGGTCTAGACCCGTTCCCCGGGACCCGATGTTTCATCCTGAGTCGATTTTGTTGACGGCCCCGAGGCCTGGTAAGGGCCCCCAGAGACCGAAAATAGCGAAAAACCTCGCGTCGTGACTTTTCCCATGACTCGACTCCAGGGGGTCTGGGTTGTGGGCGCAACCACTTACTTCAGCGTCTTGACTGCAGGCCCCTCCGCGCCCCCATCCTTGTCCGAGGTCGGCGGCGGCGCAGGCCGGTGCAGGGCGATGTGGTGCGTCATGTACTCGAAGGGGTCCTCGGGGAGGATGGCGAAGACGACGCCGAGCATCTCCTGCGCCCCCCGCGGGGGAGCCAGGGCGAGGCCGGAGGGAGGGAGGACTGCGAGGCGGGGATTGATCCATACCCCCCACCTGGGACGCGACGTCCTGGTGCCCCAGCGGGCCGCGGATACGGCTATACGTTGGCCCCCGGGGACACGACTATATATCCACATCCACCGCCTGTGGAGGTCCGCGAAGATCGACCCCCCAGGCGGTGGTTATGGATAAATCCCCGCCTCGGAAGGACGGCCCTAAGAGGGAGGAGGAGGAGGAGGAAGGGGAGGAGGAGGAGGAGGAGGAGGAGGAGGAGGAGGAGGAAGAAGAGGAGGAGGAGGAGGTCATCCGTGCTTGGGGGGTCCCCTTTCCTCCCTCCTCCCGCCTCTTGCCCGGCCCCTCGCTGCGCCTCCCCCCCCTCTCTCTCGTCATTTGCCGGCCCCGCCCGCCGGCGCGGAGATCGGCCCGTCTTCGGAATGGCCCCACCTGGCGCGCCAGACGGCGCCGCCAGGTGAGGCACGGGCTACGTCCGAAGATATTGCAGCCGTCAGGGCCTCGGGCTCTCAGGAGGAGGCCATAGGGAGGGAGGGAGGGAGGGAGGGGAACGAGGGCGAGGAGGGAGGGAGAGCGAGGGCGAGGAAGGAACGAGGGCGAGGAGGGAGGGAGGGAGGGAGGGAGGGAGGACGCCAAGAGGTGAGGAGGAGGAGGAGGAGGAGGAGGAGGAGGAGGAGGAGGCCATCGAGCGGCGGGCGGGTGCCAGACAGCAGTGGCGCGCGCTCCCGCGATCGCCGAGAGCCCCGGGGGGGTCCATCCAGGCCCGGGGCCCTCGGGGCCGAAGGGGAGCAGGGGGGGATTGGCGGCGCGCACAGGGGGGTGGGGGGGGAAGGGGGAGGGCTTCTTAGAAGGAGGCTGGTTCTTAGCAGGCGCCGGCCTTACCTCTATAGATAGGGCCCGCGCCTTCTAAGAAGCAGGGGTGCTTCTCAGAAGCCCGCCCCCTCCCTCCACCCCCCTCTGCGCGTGGCCGAGGGGAAAGAGAGAGGGACGCGAGTCCGATGATAATGAGGCCTAGACAGCGGGCGTCTCGGAAACATCGAGGCCGCCGGCTTTCTCCTCGCGTGCTCGGCAACTCGGGGCCCTCACAGGGCTCACTCGGGGCCGTCAAGGGAAGCGACGCGGGGTGAGAAACCGGTCCCGGGGGGAGTGTGGCAGAGGTCGGTCGGGGGCCCGTGTGCCGACGAAAAATCGAGGCGCTGGATGTCTGGGGACGGGACCATGTTCTCTTCCTGACGTTGGGGCGCACAGAGACATGCTAGTACTACACGTCCTCTTCGGAGGCGCGCGTCCGACCCGAACGTGCAGCATACCCGTCTTGTAGTAGATCGTTTCCCGAGCGGTGTGGCTAGAAAGCCCCCGCCACGACGCATGTAATTACTTGAAGATTTCTCGGCGCGCGCGTCGCACATGGGGAGGCGACGCACATATAGCAAACCATGTTGGGGTGACGCCGATGATTGAGCAGGGACCGACCGTCCCGGCATTCCTATAGTCCTACCACGAAATGCTCTCAGAACCCAAAAATGTTCAACCAACAACAAAGACAATGTTCTTAGAACATAAACCTGATGTGCTAAAGCAAGACAACCTCAACCAGAAATGCTCTAAGAACATGTCGTGGAAACCCCAAAAGGTTCTTAGAACATTGTTTGGTGGGGCTATGGGCGAGCCAGGACGCTTCGCCACTGCTTCAGATGACGTTGCTGTCCGGAGGCCGGGCCAGGGCGTACGGGTGAGCGCCTGGTCTGCAGCGATCGCGCCGCTAGGACTCTCCTCGGGCGCGTGCCTCCTCCCCCGCGCGGCCCCTCCAGCCCGACCAAATGTGCTACAAGGTCGCTCCACTAAAACATACAAGGTCAATCTAGAAGAAGGGGAGGAGGAGGAGGAGGAGGAGGAGGAGGAGGAGGAAGAGGAGGAGGAGGAGGGGAACTCGCGAGCGGCGGGCGTATCCATATCCACGCCCTCGCGGTCGGGACTCCGGGGCGAGATCCCGCGGATACGCGGTCGCACGGATGCGTTCCGCGCGCGGCATCCGCGAAGAAACGGCCCGCATCAGCGCGGTCGCAGCCAAGGGGACCCCGGCCAGCGAGGCCGCGGATACGGATACGCTTCTCGTCCACGGGGAGCAAGGGGGCAACGACGAGAGGGAAAAGGACGGGGGGGAGGAGGAGGAGGAGGAGGAGGAGGAGGAGGAGGAGGAGGAGGAGGAGGAGGAGGAGGAGGAGGAGGACCCAGAGTAAGCGCAAGATGCGCAAAACAGAATGCAGCACGCGCTTCGTCGGGGGCCACGTGTGAACCCTACCCCTACCCCCCAACGATTTCCGAGGGGGAGGGTGGGGTTCACTTCGTTCGGGAGCTCCCGAGCGAAGTGAACCCCACCCTCCCCCTCGGAAATCGTTGGGGGGTAGGGGTAGGGTTCGCATGTGGCCCCCTGAGGTCCCTCCTCGTCGGTCCCCGGAGGCAGTCTGCCTCACAGCGCGGGGCGCCCGCTGGAAAGACGAGAGCGCCCGCCCGGCCCGCGATGTTCCAGCGGGAGTGCCATCTCGAGAGGAGCCGCCCTCCGCCCGTCGACCTACAAGGGGTGATGCACACACCAGTGCAAAGGAACTGCAAGAGAGAAACTCCAGGTGCAGAGAGACTCCAGGAAGCGCTGCAAAGAAACTCCAGGTGCAGAGAAACTCCAGGAAACGCTGCACAGGAACTCCGAGAAAGAAACTCCAGGTGCAAAGAAACTCCAGATGACCTACGGGTCTTCGGGTGCAGAGAAGCTCCAAGAAACGCTGCACACCGTCCATCGGTGATCGGTGCAGCTGCTCGGCGTTCACATCTGTGGCAGCGAAGCCGGGCAGGGGCCCCAGCGAGGGCCACACCTCGTGCAGGAGCCGCCCTCCACGCGTGTGAGTGCTGCACACTCGCATATGCATCTGAAAATCTCAGACGAGGGCACTCATTGGAAAAACGAGTCGCCCTCCATCCATACATATATCTCTATATATACACACATTTATGTTGGAAATATGGCGACTGCGCGCAGCATCAAGGCAGGGCAAGGTCCGAATGTTGAAAACGATTCGCCCTCCACCCGTGAAACTGTCGGAAAAGTTCAAGCTGACCCATCGTAACCAGTGAGAAATCTCAGGCGAATAGCCCAGCCCGCGCTGACCCCACGCTTGGTGGTGCGTCAGGGATGAATCATGTATAAGATTGGGGGGTCGAGGAAAAGGAGGAAGAGGAGGAGGAGGAAGAAGAAGAGGAGAGCGGAAGGGAGGGCAGGAGCAGGAGGGGGAGGAGGAGGGGAGGAGCAGGAGGAGGAGGAGGAGGTCCCTGCTTCACTGTTACTACACGTCGGAATGCGTGCGCCGCCGGTGGCCCATGGAGCGGTGCTCCAGGGGTCACCTGGCCCTAATTTGATCAATCCCCTTCAGGACCGACAGGCCCTGAGGGGAGGGAGGCTACGTTCTGACGGACGTTCGAGCCACCAGGGGCCAGGTGCGAGGAGGAGGAGGAGGAGGAGGCGGAGGAGGAGGAGGAGGAGGAGGCAAGGTAAGGTAAGCTAACGCAGCGGCCATGAGCCAGCCTGGGGATCTCAACCCCACGGCTGCCTCGGAGTCCGAAGGCGTTGTCGCCCGCCTCCGAGCCCGAAGCCTCCAAGTCTCTCGCAAGGAGGCCCTCGCCGAAGGACGGACATCACCGAGGGAAGACTGGCCTCCTCGAGGCCAACAGCTTCTGGCGCGCAGGCTCATGGAGCAAGGCGGGGACAGAGGACCCCTGACAAAGCCCCAGCCCCCCCCAGCACCCGAGCCGCCCTGGGCCTACGCGCTGCGACTGGAGATGGCATCCAATTCGCACCAGAATGTCCGTCGGCACCCCGTTCAAAGGCCTCCAGGACCAGGTCCGTCAGACCTGACTTACAAGACGGCCAACGCCTGGCTCGAAGTCTGCACAGCGGCTCAGCCATGCCTATTTCAGCGTGCCCGCGGAGGCAGGGCTGGGACGAGGAGCAGCCAGAGGAGGAGAGAGGAGGCGGAGGGAGGGAGGAGAGAGGACGACTGAAACGAGAGGGAGAAGGAAGACAAAGAGGGCGGGAAAGATGCGGACGACGAGGGCGAGGTTGAGAGAGAGAGAGAGAGAGAGTTTGAGAAAGATGGCATGAGTAAAAGAGGAAGGAGACGAGGTTCCTCCTGCTCCTCCTTGTCCTCCTCCTGCTCCCCCCTCCTCCTCTTCCTCCTCCTCCTCCTCCTCCGCCTCCTGCGCCTCGTCCTCATCCCCCCCCCCCCGGTATGCACCTCCTCCTCTTCCTCCACCTCCTCCTCTTTTTATACGTGTTGTGTTTGACCATATCATTGTTATTATTAACAAGAATAATAGCAGTAGTGGCATACGTATGTTTATGATCATCAATAGTAGCAAGGTCCGTAGTAATACCATCAGCATGAGCATTAGTAGTAGCATTCGCAGTGTAGTACTAGCATCACGATTGGTATTATAGGATGAGGATTCGTAGTATCAGTAGTAGTCGTAGTAGTTGCTGGTGTACTGGTATCAGTAGTAGCCGCGGCAGTAGTAATAGCATGAGTATCATTAGTAATATCAGCAGTGGTAGTACTAGTGCTATTGGAAATGATAGTACCATGACTGGTAACACCGAAAATACGTATTAGTAGTATCAACAGTGCTGGTATGATGATTGATGTTGGTAGTGTTGCTGGTACTCGTAGTATTGATATTGTTATGATGCGTGGTAGTAAAACTAGTGATAGTATTACCAGTGTGAACTTATTATCTGCAGTATTACTAGTATTCCTAATCATCATCCTCTTCCTCTTCATTCTCCTCCTCCTCCTCCTCCTCCTCCGCCGCCGCCTCCTCCTCCCCAGTACAGTCCCCTTCCTCCTCCACCTCATCATCATCATCCTCGTCTTCCTCCTCTTCCTCCTCCTGCTCCTCCTCCTCCTCCACCTCC